GGCTCTTGGAAGGCACTTGGGTAGGAACCGGAGGTGTTTTGGCCTCTGCAGGGGCTGCTGGAGCTGGGGTGGCTTTGCCAGGACTCTTTGGGGGTGTTTTGGCCTCAGCTGCAGGGGTTGGGGTGGCTTTCCCAGGGCTCTTTGGGGGTGTTTTGGCTGCTGGAGGTGGGGTGGCTGTAATGGGGCTTTCTGGGGGTGCTTTGGCCTCAGCAGGGGCAGCTTTGACAGGGCTTTTTTGGGGTGCTTTTGCCTCAGCAGGGGCAGCTGAAGGTGCTGGAGCCACAGGAGCAGATGGGGCAGTGATGGGGCTGCCCTTGGGAGACTTTTTGGCTGCTCCAGGAGAAGCTGGAGTTGGGGTGGTTTTGACAGGGCTCTTTGGGGGTGCTTTGGCCTCAGTGGGGGTGGCTGAAGTTGGGGTGGCTTTGACAGGGCTTTTTGGGGGTGCCTTGTCCTCAGTGGGGGTGGCTGCACCTGTGGAAGCTTTGACAGGGCTCTTAGGGGGTGTTTTGGCCTCAGTGGGGGTGGCTGGAGTTGGGGTGGCTTTGACAGGGCTCTTAGGGGGTGCCTTGTCCTCAGCAGGGGTAGATGGAGTTGGGGTGGCTTTGACAGGGCTCTTAGGGGGTGTTTTGGCTGCTGGTGGCACAGCTGGAGCTGCAGGAGTTGCGGTGGCAGGGGACAAGGGAGCAGCAACAGGGCTCTTGGGCGCAGTTTTGGCTGCAGGTGGGGTGGCTGGAGCTGCGGTGGGGAGAATTGGAGTGGCAGCAACAGAACCCTTGGGAGCATCTTTGGCTGAGGGAGGGGCAGCTGGAGACGGTGGAGCTGCCATGGCCGGTGTGACGGGGGCAGCTGGGGCAGTGACCGGGCTCCCAGGAGCTGGTTTGGCCACAGGAGGCATGGCTGGAGGTGCCATGGCTGGTGTGACAGGAGGAGAGGGGGCAGTGACCGGGCTCCCAGGAGCTGGTTTGGCCACAGGAGGCATGGCTGGAGGTGCCATGGCTGGTGTGACAGGGACAGAGGGAGCAGTGACTGGGCTCCCAGGAGCTGGTTTGGCCACAGGAGGGGTGGCTGGAGCTGCCATGGCCGGTGTGACAGCGACAGAGGGGGCAGCTGGGGCAGTGACCAGGCTCCCAGGAGCTGGTTTGGCCACAGGAGGGATGGCCAGTGTGACAGGGGGACAGCTGGCAGAGGGGACAGCAGACACAGGAGCTGCTGCTGGGAACACGGGGCTCGCGAGAGGCCCTGGGACAGAGCTGGCAGCTCCCAGTGCAGGTGTGGACAGGGCAGGAACCACCGGAGCTGCTGCAGCCACAGGTGCAGCCCGAGGGGCCGGGCTCCCAGGAGGGGTCCTGGCTACCGAGGGAGGGACTGGGTGTCCCACAGATGGGACCACCGGGGCAGGGCCCACGGGACAGGCCCTGGCAACAGAAGGAGCAACTGGGACCAGTGGTGAGACTGGGGCACCAGGGGCTGGGCCTGGTGGGGCAGCAGCAGGATGCCCAGGGGACACCCCAGCTGGCAGCAGAGGGATAGGGGGTGACAAGGGAGCTTTGGGAGCAGCCAGGAAGACAGGGGGAGAGATGGCACCAACCAGGGCTGGAGCTGGAGCTCGGGGAGAGGCTGGAACAGAAGCCAGCGGGGTGGAAGCAGGAATTCCAGGAGACACCGGGACTGTGGGAAGTGATCCCGGACTCTGAGGACACACTGCCACAGTGGGAGCAGGCAGCAAAGTGGGAGACACTGGTGGGGGAGATGCCAGAAGGGGACGGGATGGGGGAGGCAGGAGAGGAGCTGGGGCTGCTCCAGAGGCTGGGAAAGGCGTTGGGGCTGCTCCAGAGGCAGGGAGTGAGGCCAGAGGTGCAGCTCCCACAGAGGCAGCAGCAGGAACAGTTTTCATGGGAGAGGCGAGAGCAGCTGGGAGAGAACTGGGGCTCACTGCAGGGGCAAGAGGGGCCACTGTCACTGCAGCAGAAGCAGCAGCCAGGCCAGGTGACACTGGAGCTGGGAATCCTGGAGAAGCCGGGCTAACCGGGGCAGGCCCTGGAGATCCTGGGGCTGCAAAACCCACAGGGGCCTGTGGAGCTGCAGGAGGGGCAGTGGTGACTGGGCCTAGCAGGGCCGGGGCAGGGGGCTGGGGAGGCACGGAGAACACAGGGATGGCTGCAGCTGGGACCACAGGGGGGGACACGGGGCCAGGGGGGCCCGGCAGAGCCGTGGCAGCGCTGGGAGGCTGCGCTGGGAGACCCTGGGTGGATGGAGATGGAGTCAGAGGTGGGGAATGAGCAGCATGAAGAACAGCTGAAGGAAAGAAACAGAGTGAGCCATGAGAGGAGGGAGGGAGAAAAGGAAAGACAGGGAGGGGGCAGGTGGCCAGCCCTGGCCTTCCTCTGGCCTCTGTGCCTGGCTTCTGGCCCAGCGGGCACTGCCTGGCCTGCCACGGTCAGCACGGAGCAGGATGTTCATCCCCTTCTAGAACACAGCACCGATTTTCCCAAGAGCCTTGGAATGGCAGGAGGCACACCCTGAACCACCAGGAAGCTCCAGCAGGCCAGGGATGCAAAGATCCAGCTCTGGCACTGGCTCTGCCCTACCAAAGGGGCTGTCACAACCTCTGTGGAGCCCCAGAGCTGCTGGGAGCGTGGGGGAACAAAGACCCACCTGGTTAGAGGAAAGGAAAGTCAAATATAATCCGTGGAATTACTCCTGGAGTGCCCTGGGAGCCCCCTCCCTCAAGCCATGGGTGACATGGGCAGGTGCCCTGAGGGCACAACAACCTGGGGGTGGTGGGGCCAGGCCCCCCAGTTCCTTGGAAGCTGTTAGGGTTAATGGAACTGCAACCCCCATAATGGCACACGCTGGTTAATGCGGCACACGAGGGGTTACAGGAGGGTCCCGAGTACCTGGAGCAGGGGTGGGAGCAGGAACGGGGGCAGCTGGAGCTGAACAGGGAGAACAACAGTTTATTAAGGCAAGTCCTGCCGATTTCCAGCTCCCTAGCCGGGTCCAAGAGAGCCTGGAGAGAGCCTGGCCATTCCCAACGCCAGCTGGTGATCCAAGGGCACCGCTCAGGCAACAGGCCATGACAGGGCTGAGCTTCCAGCTCCTGAGCCAGAGCTGAGAGCCTGGAGAGAGCCCTGACATTCCTAACGAAATTCCCAATGCCAGCCAGCAATCTTTAGAGAAGAGGCCATGAGAGGGCTGAGCTCCCAGCTCCTGAGCCAGAGCTGAGAGCCTGGAGAGAGCCCTGACATTCCCAACGAAATTCCCAGCACCCACTGGAGATCCAAGGGCACCACCGAGGGAAGAGCCCACAAGAGCTGGGGAGGGCAGTGCTGGTCCAACCGGTGCTGCCGGCTGGGAGAGCAGAGCCGGCCCAGCCACGGTGCCGCCCTTCAGCAGCGCGTCCTGGCACAGCACCGGGAGCTCAAAGCCAGCCCCATTCCATGGATCCTGTCCCTGCCACGTGCTGTGGGATCAGGGTCACAGTTGTGTCCTGCCACCCAGCGTGACACGTGCATGGAAACCAGGGAATGACATCCCTGCTCCAGGAATGGGGTCCTGAAGATGCTTCTACTGCCCTGTTTTACCCCAAACCACGGGACTGTGGGAGGCCTGGAGCTGGACATCAGTGCCAGCGGGTGCCAGGACACTTCCTGCCCCAGGGAATGTCCTGGTGCCTCCAAAAGGAGCAACAAGTCCTGCCAAGGGCTGTGCTGGGCCCGTCACAGAACAGGCTGTGCAGAGCCACCCTCTCCAGAACAATCCTTTATCCCTGCCTGCTCTCCCTGTTCCTTCGCCAGCTCCACTGGCACTGCTTGAGCACATTCCTGATAAACACAATCATTCCTGCTCGTCGCTTCTCCCCACAGCCCCACCTTTCCTTGGTCCCTTTCTTAAACAACACCAAGACAAAATATTCCCTAAAACCACGGGATTTTTAACGGATGCTCAAAGCACCTGGGTGGCAGAGCCTGCCCAGAGCCCCTCTGGATCAGATGCACCAGTCCCATCTCCAGGGTTTTTCCAGGGACTTGCTGACCTCCATGGAACAAGATGAAAATCCAAGGAGTTGCCTGAGGAATCCCATGACACCATCAGAGACTTGAGCACAGCACAACTTTGGGAGTTGTCAGTTGAGAGGGACAGAAGAGCCATTCCAGGGAGGGGGGAGGCCCCAAACAGGAATTCCAGCTACGCCGAGAGGGATAAGGAGCTCAGCAGCTCCCTGGGAATCATCGGTGCAGCTGTCACAGCAACAGCCATCACTCAGCTTCCTCCTTGTGTCCCTTGTCACCAACCCTCATGGTCCCCCAATGGGACAGTGCCCAAATTCAATGGGAGACCCCCAAATCCAACAGAGCAGACCCCCAAAATTCAATGAAAGACTCCCAAATCCAAAAGGACAGACCCCAAATCCAATGGGAGACCCCCAAATCCAACAGGGCAGACCCCCAAAATTCAATGAAAGACCCTCAAATTCAAAAGGACAGACCCCAAATCCAATGGGAGACCCCCAAATCCAACAGGGCAGACCCCCAAAATTCAATGAAAGACCCTCAAATCCAAAAGGACAGACCCCAAATCCAATGGGAGACCCCCAAATCCAACGGGGAAGACCCCCAAAATTCAATGAAAGACCCTCAAATCCAAAAGGACAGACCCCAAATCCAATGGGAGACCCCCAAATCCAACAGGGCAGACCCCCAAAATTCAATGAAAGACCCTCAAATTCAAAAGGACAGACCCCAAATCCAATGGGAGACCCCCAAATCCAACAGGGCAGACCCCCAAAATTCAATGAAAGACTCCCAAATCCAAAAGGACAGACCCCAAATCTGAAAGGACAGACCCCAAATCCAACAGGGCAGACCCCCAAAATTCAATGAAAGACCCTCAAATCCAAAAGGACAGACCCCAAATCTGAAAGGACAGACCCCAAATCTGAAAGGACAGACCCCCAAAATTCAATGAAAGACCCTCAAATCCAAAAGGACAGACACCAAATCCAACAGGGAAGACCCCCAAATCCAAAAGGACAAACACCAAATCCAACAGGGCAGACCCCCAAAATTCAGTGAGAGACCCCCAAATCCAACGGGGCAGACACTCAAATCCAGTGGAGGAGACCCTCAAAAACAACGGCAAATCACCAAATCCACGGCAAGACCCCCAACTTCAATTGGGGAGAACCCCAAATCCAACAGGAGAGCCCTGGTCACCCTCGTGCCCTGAACGGCCCCCTCAGATGGGGTAACAACACCCAGTCATGGAGCAGATCCAAATTCCAACGGGAAACCGCCGAATCCAGCAGGAAAATCCCCCAAATCCAATGGGACAGGCCCCTAAATCCAACAGCCCGGCCTGGCCACAGCCGCTTCCCTCCCACTGCCCCCCGTAACCGGGGACTACCCAAAGCAGGCTCCGAGCCATCCCCGGGACTCCGGGACACGAGGGGTCCCCGCTCCCGTGACTCCGGTCACGTTCCCTGCGGGATAATCCGCGTGTTTTGGGTGGGAAACCACAGAACCGGCCCGGTTTGTTTTGGCCACAGCACGAGGACACGGACCCCCCAAAACCACCGCGGAGGAGGTGACAAGACTCGAGCAGGGGTCACACAACCCCCGCCGCCACCGGGAGAGCCCCGGCCCACCCTCCCCGGGACGCGGCAGCCGCCCGCTCCCTCCCGCA